CGTTTTCGCATTCCAATTCGCAGAAGACGAGGCTGCATTCCTCTGGATCTTATATATCTATATATAAAGCGTCTTTTGGAAGAGAGAAAGAGAGAGAGAGAGAGAGAGAGAGAGAGAGAGATCTCGGGTGACATTAATTAGAGAGTCACCATGGGGCAGGCAGGCTGCATTAAGTAAATGGGTCTCGGGTTCGCGCAGATTGCTTCCATAAAAGGCTCGCGATCGTTCGTTTTCCCTGCGTGTTGTGCAGCTTGTGCACGGTGTTTGGCCGCGAGAATTTGCGCGGGTGAAGAAATTAACGCTCACCATCCCTCCACGTGTTTCCCTCTCTCTTTCCCCTCTCTTTTCTTTTTTTCCCCGCCTGTCAACCTTTCTTTCGAGTCTGTTGATTTTTTTTTTTTTTTTTTGAACGAGCAATTTTGCCGTTCACGATTGTTGTTGTCGCGTTGTTGGAAACGATCGAAGAATCGAATAGGTTTTACTCGCTCGATCTTTTGTAGCTGACCATTTCTCTTTCGCTCAAACTATGAATGCATTTTATTTATTTTTTTTTTTATTCTCCATTATCTGGGAGCCAGGATGGAAATTGAAATGATTTTGTAAGGGAGATAATTTAGAAGGGAATTTGTTTGTAAAATTCGAAGATATTTATAATTTTCGTTCGAAAATTTTATTTCTAATTAACTTATTGATTACGAAATTTGAATTTGTATCCATTGAAAAAATGTTGGAACGTTTTCTGTGGCTCTTTCGAAACGTTCATCGTGAAAAAGAATGTAAATTTATCGAAATTTTGAATTTTTTTTTTTTTTAATAGTACATCACATCGTGTTTGATTGCACTTTTTGGATGAAATTTTGGATTTTTTAAGATTAATAAAACTGGGAAATGATATTTCGTGGTGGTCGAAATTTTAGCTATTGTTACGTCAAATAGAAACGTAGAGGGAAATTTTAGAAATTCTTTTTTACAAACTTTAATTAGACTAGGTAAGTTCGTTACATCATTATACCATCCTTTTCTTGAAAGGAAAAATCTCTTTCTTGAAAATGAGATATCTTTTTGAATATTATAGACACCGAGCCGTAATTCCACGATTTATAAGTAGTTTGCAACGTTTAACTTTCAACCGAGATAGATACAGGATGGAAAATTTTCCACCTACCAAGGTTTTCCTCCAGGGTTCGCCTTAAAAATTACGTCTATTATTTCTACGTTTTGAAGCATCTCGTTAGTGCATTTTGTTAATTAGAATGGACATGCAGCGTTCCTAATTTTACCTTGTTATTCGCGGAGATACTTTAACTTCAAAGATACTTTACTTTTTACTATGCAGTGTATATATATATATATATAGGATAATTATAAGAAAAGCATTCTTCCAAAATTTTCGAAAATATTTATATAAATATCCTCTTTGGAAGAATATTTAATTGTACTCTCGATGTATTCTAAATTTGTACAATATTTATAATGAAAATATTATTATTAATTTCAACTAACAGTTTCTAAAAGTTGAACATAACTTTATGTGTAAATTAAAAATATAGATTTTACGTGTAAGAATATTTTTATTTAAGAAATTATATTTTCTTCATCCATTATTAAATCCACAATATAAAAATCCTATATAATATTCAATTTTTTGTTTGTCAAATAATAGAGTAAAATTTAAAGAAAAATCTATCACAATTTTTATCTATATTTATACATCGATAACCACGAAATACATAATTTAATCGTTCAAAAGACAATGTAAAATTCAATGGTGCACAATGGCCTGTTTAAAATTCTAACCGGTCGTTATCGACATAGCATAAATTTCGCGGTTAATGCCGAGCTGGCTGGTTTTTGGGCCCGCCCAACCACTTATTTCATACAATGCCGGTTAGTTAATTATTTCGATTCGAGTATACGTGTCCACGAGCAACGCCTCGAAAATCATTTGGATCTTTGCCCGTTGACGAATTAATTCGTCGAAGCGTTTGTGGCAACTGTTAAAGTTTATCGACCAAAAGTGCTAAATTCAGAATTTTCCTTTCCTTTATTTTCCACAACTTGTCTTTCCGATTAGTACTTTTATTACCTTCATTTCAATTCGAGAATAATAATTCGTATGTTGCCAGAGTATTTTTCGAATTCGAATTAAAATTTCCATTTCAATTTGTTTTTTTTTTTGGAATAAACTTTATAATCATATACGAAGATTTGTTTTATGCAAAAAAAAATTGTAATTGTTGAGATAATAGAGGGTCAGAACTTTGTAATTTGAACTTCTATAGTTTAAAAATCGAAGCTATAAATCGAAATATAAACTTATCTTAATTCATTTGCCACGAGTTGCAATTTCACCTCTACCTAAGTTGAATTCCGAGCAATCTCCATAAATGTTATATCAAGTTGTGATGTATCTACAACTCGAAGTAATTTCATACGTGTCATAATCTATCAATGATCGATTATTCCATACGTTTCATTTTTCCAACTGCAATACATAATCAACACATCCACGAATAAAACGAATAACTTTCACATTCTCGATAATATTTAAGAACAAAAAGGCAATTACGAAATTTAATATTCTCAATATCATATTAAGATAAAAAGTGCAATATTCTCTATTCCTCACGATAACTTTTAAACAAAATCTCGACCACTAATTAATCATTCGTGGCTCGCATGTCTGACCAGAACCAGGGCTCACAACTCGGCTAGAATTCTGTTCCTTATTGAAACGCGACTGGGATCCACAACTTGGCTTTCCTGATCATAGTATTACGATACCAGAGAGACCAGGTCAATGCCTACAATTGGATCGTCAGCTCTCATCCCATTCAAATCGCGCCGCCCTATTCATTTAATTAACACGCCATCGTTTGGTTACGTTTCCCTTTGAGCAATATCGGTGAATAGAGAATTGACCGTGCACCTTCTAGAGCGTCTTGATATTAATTACGGAATGTAAACGTTCAGGTATTAATTAAACGACAGACCTTCTCCCTCCGGATGATGCTTCAAACGGAAACTTCCTTCCTCTCTCCTCCGAGGTGGAAATCCGTCATTTTGTACACGAGGATGTCGCATCCCTCCTCGTGAAATTCTCCTTGTGTAACATAGAATTGTAACAAACGTTTGTGCTATTATTGCTCGTTGGATCCTCGTACGAATATCGGAGAGGAATTTTGAAACTGATTCTGATATAGCTATTATTATTATAGTTCGTCGAGGACGACATGGTGATTTTAATTATTCTATATTGTTACTACTTCCTCGAATTTCTCATAAACCCACAAATATTTGAAATCAACGAATCACGGTAAAAATCTTTTAATTGATTTTTAATAAAAACCTCAATTTTTCCCCCTATCGCTTCTACGATCACTAAAACGATGGATCTGGTTTCCCCGATTCCGCCATATCGTTGGAAAATCTCTATCAAAAACGTAGAAAACTTACTGACCGATCGAGCGGTGAAAAAATTCCCTAGAAATTGGCGAGTAACGCAAAAGGCCGAAAAGAACTAAAGGTTATTAAACGAAAGGGTAGGTGGTAATAGTGTTATCCTTTTATCTGAATCGCCAAGCAGAACGAAAGTCGTTACGACGTCCGAAGGTTGGTGATTTCGTTCTGGCCATCGTTGGCGGTGGCGAACATGACCTCGGCGCTCTCGTGGCTCGTAACTCGCCCGAGATTCCTCGCGGCGAGCCGATTAGGAACGTTGCCCTTCGACTACGGAAACTACCAGCAGTTTTATAACCGTGAAATTGTTCCTGCCTTTTTTCTCACATTTCGCACGTCAAGTTTGTTTGATATTAAAATTTATCGCGCAATGAGATCCATTACGACGAAAATAAGAGAGTAAGACGCTTGTTATGGGAAATTAATAGTCGATATTTTCTTCTACGTATTCGTGGGAGAGGAAAAACGAAGGAATGTAAGGTTGAGGCTTATTCATCATGAGCATGATAATAAGAATATTCGAATATTGATCAGACAGATTAGATTCGGATATATATAATATATCGAAGATAATATTGAATATTTGTTGGAAAAAGATCGAATGTATCGAAGATCATTTGGGAGAAACAAAAGTTTTGATTGATTTAAATAAACGATAAAATAAAATAGTTAAAACGATCGTGTTATATAATTGTGCACGGTAAAGCTTACAACGAAATAATGCAGAAGAAGAAGCGAGCAATGCTTAATTCAGAATCTAAGTTAAATTATACAAATTTTGTTACCGCGTTGAAAAAACATTGGTCAACTAAATTTTAGCTTTTCCTCCTATAAACCGAGATTGGGTGGTGACCAATCGCCATGGAGTTAATTTCCACGCTCGACCAATACCTGGTCGAGATTAAATTTTCAGTGTACTCTGGCCACTCTTTGTTCCAAACCTATGAAACACTGCAAAAAACTGGCTTTCCCCATTTCGAATAATGGCTCTGCCAAGTTGAATTGAAAATAATAATTTTCACCCCCCCCTCCTCACCCCCTAATTCGTTTACAACGTAATAATCGAATTGTTGAAATTAATTGTAATTATTGTTAACGTAATAACGAGGATTGTAAATTTCGAAACGAATGAATATTTTCTTTTGTGTGCAAATTTATTGAATTTGCAATATACAAATGTAGATGATGATACTTTGGAACATAAACAGATAAAGCGCTTGTGTCATATTTTTTCATGTTACAACTTTTATAATAAAGCGTTTTATGAAATCTCTTTCATCTCTTTTATAGATTATTTTAATTTCGATTTTTTAATCGTACAAGAAAATATTGTACTCCATATTTTATATCGTATCAATGATTAACAGAAAATTAAAATCAAAGAGAATCTTTTATGCATTCTCATTATATTTACCAACTATTTTCTTCCCCCAAATACTGTTATTAAATCTAACGTTTTAACAAACATTTTTAAAATTTGGCCAATCAAATAGCTCTCAACTTCTCATTCTCTCGCACGATTAAAGCTGTGTTCGTTTTAGGAGTTCTCGGGGATTGTCCCTTGGTGCAAGCGCCACAATGGGGAAGAGTGAGAGAACGAGTCCTTAAAGATGGTACTTTACAGACCGTGTACTCGTGTGAACCAGGCCGTAGATTGAAGGGTCATAAAATACTGACTTGCACCGCAGACGGTTGGAATCATCCCATCCCGAAATGTGTGCCTCACGGTAAGTGACTTGCACTTCGCTTTATACTTGACTTGACTCTTTTCAAAGACAAGTCTAAATTTTAGAATTTCATTTTTTAAAAATTCACAAAATTCACTTTGGCAAGATTTGGTGTATAATAATTATGAATTAATTTATCTTTTACAATAAGAGTGCAAATTAGTTATACTTCAACTTATATTTGTTTTTGAAATACTTGTTTTTATCATCGAATTTTTCCAAATTAATATTCTATTATTTTCAGTATATATTTTGTTAATTACACCCAAAATTAATCAAATATTCACGTACGTTTAAAAACTTTCCTCTTCTATAGCCCAAGACACTATAATTATGCGTCCATTTCTACACAACGAATTTATTACATGAAATTTTACAAGAAATCTTCGTTGTATCTGTAATTATTAAAATTAACAATCAGACGTAGCAAACAAACGCAGAAAGTTTGAAAAAGTTACGAAAAATATCGAATTCTTCGATTCGATACTTGTCAATAAAACTTCCATGCAATGAAAATTCGTCCAACGTTATTCGCGAAAAACGATATTCCCCTCTTTTCATTTTCTTTGTGTCCCCTTTGTGTGCGTTTTCGGACACACCGCGTATAGACGCAAATAAATTCGAAAAGTGGAATTTCTCTGAACGATGGAAAAACGAGGCGAAAACAAAAGAAAGGAAAAAAGATTCGCTTTGAATAGGCGGAGAAGTTATCGAGTAGAAGACGAGGCGATATCGAGTCGAACGAATTTCCGGGTGTTTGCATAGGCGGAGGGTATGAAACGTATGAAATCTGGGATAAGCGCGATTTGTCCAGATAGACTCGACCAATTTATTCACAATTTCGAGACCACAACAACTGCGCTGGTGTATCGAGGCGTTCTCGTTTCGTTGACAAGGAAACGCGTGTGAATTCGCGACGAAAGTCAGTGAAATTAACGAAGACCTTCGTTATACCAGAGACCTTCGTTATTATTGCTGTTGAAGAGAGATGTATTATTTATAGACGAGAATCGTTTGCTTCGTTGATCTCAAATTTGTTCGACGAGATACTTCGAGATGCTTCGTGATGCTTTGACGAATGGTATTTTTTATAAATGAAATTTTCCCTTTTTCCTTTTTTAATAATTGACGACGAAAGAATTTCTCGAAAGAGTTTTTAGAATTTTTCTTTCCAATTAAAGAGATTTTTGAGAACATTCTCTCAGCTTGCAATTATTTTTACGTTTAATATATTATTTATGTAGATTATAGTATGCTTTTACAGTATATTAAATATATATTTAAAAATTCGATTCGACCTTTTGCATCGCAAGTTCGTTTTCGTTTTATTTACAATTTAGAAAAATTCCGAATGATGAACGAAAGATAAGAAAAGAAAGAAAAGAAATGTTGGAATAGAAAAATATGAAAACGAAGATTACGATGAATTTTTAGATTGCACTTTTACATTTTCTTCAAATTTATTTTATTTAGCCAATTTTTGGTATTACACAGAAATAGAAAAAGGAAAAAACTTACTCGTGATATATGTACCTTGCATGCTAGATACCATGTTATACGAATAATCTATTGAAAATTGGATACATCTCGTTTTTATCAATGCTCTTTTATGAATGTAAGCGATCCAAAGAGCGTTTCGACACCACACTTGAACCAACTCCTCCTTCGACGTAACATGACACGTATCTCAATTCGAGCATCTTGCCAGATGTCGACGTAATAATATGGCAAATAGTCCACTTGACTCGCGATAATCTCGTTCGAAAGGGAGATAATTTTTTTCTTTTACGTCCACTTTCCGCGACACAGTTTCGTACCTTAATATCTCATTCCATAATGTTTCAAACGCTTCATTTTTTTTCATGTCACATTCCTTTCTCGTTTCGAATTCTTCTCCCGATACGATACGGTATTATTTTATTTGCAAAACAGTTAAACACCAAGTATTTAAGCACTTTACGAAATTTATTTTAAATATGAATATGAAAAATGTAGGTTATATCGAATAAATTTTATACCGACGCTCTTTTTTTTTTCACGCGAATTTTCATAAAATACATTTTTCTTGCGAGTTTTTATATATTAATCCATTATTTGCGCAAAATATTTTATTTCTATATTCGCGAAATGTTTCTGTATTATTCGTGCATTTTCAATCGGGATTTAAAACAATAGATCGAATAATCGTTTTTTCAAAATAAACTTTTGAAATTGTTCATTACATTTTATATAATATAGGCAATATTGTTCTAAATATTGCAAAAAAATTATGAAATGCACGTGATCTTAAGCTTGAAAACTCAAGCTAGTGTATCAAAAAAAAAAAAGAAAAAATATGTATTTTACCAATTCGTTAATCTTCATAAACTACGTACGTACACCAACGATACATAAATCTTTCTTCCGTTCAACTGTATATTATTTTTATCTCGAAAAGCAATTCCATTTCGGTTATTACACGAAAGCACGCTCCAAAACCCAAGAAACCTTGGTACAAGGTTATAAAAAATTCCAATCGCTTTTTCCTTATCACCATCACGCACATCCGCCCCCATTTCCATAATACCAACATTTCTTCCAACGCAGCGATCTTCTTTGCGATATCAAACAGAACACTTTCGAAATAAAATTTCCCCTCATCAATCACGGCATCTAAGAGGTTTTTCACATTGTCTCTCGTCGGCTCTCGCCGTCCGATTGAAAATAAAACGCCAGCCGATCGATATAACGCTCCTTTTTTCATCGCGCTTTGTCAATTACACAATGTGTAATCAAGTGGCACGAAAAATATTGATCGATAATCGATATTCCGAAAAAAAAAAAAAAAAAAAAAAAAACTACGAAGAAACTTTACATCAATCCCCAAATCTCTCTTCATTCTAATCCTAATTAATCACCTTGATTGAAATAAATGATATTCTCGGCCACGGTTCCATGTTTAAAAGTGCCACGCAATAATCATTCGTCAGTTTGGTAAAAACTTCGATGCTTAAAAAAACGTAACCCTCGGTGAACTACTCCCTCCACTAAACATTCCAACACACCGTTTGAAACAACTCGATTGATTTCCAGAATTCTCCCAGGAATCTAGAATGCTCTCAGACGATGCTCCAGAGACGGGGGGAGGGAGGGGGAGCTGAGAAAAGAAAAGAAAAGGAGGGGGAAAAAAAAAAAGCGGCGAATGGTTTCGAAGACGCGGAAGCAGTCCAGGAGGAAAGGAAAGGTGGCGATGGGGGGTGGATGTGTGTGTGTGGAGGGGGATGACGAATGGATTTTTCGTAGCGAGACACCTCCCAGTGGGGCCTGAAAAGCAACCCCTTTTCCCTTCGAAACCAGGATCGAAAGCAACGGGATTCCCCTTTGATTTATTGCCGCGGTCTCGCGCGTTACGTTCGTAAAGAAGCGCGACATCTTTCTTTCCAAACGGGTGGACACGAAGCGCGTAGATTCTCCACTCCTTCGAAATGGTGTATCGAAGAGATTCTTTCTTGTAGATACTTTCGTGTACAAAGGGGCTGTCCACCCTTCATTTCGACCAGATCTCGTGTGAATTACTTTGAGAATGATTGAGATTCGTACATTCGACGTGCGTTGAAATGTAGATTTTTCTTTTAATTTGTGCTTCGAGAAAGTTGATACGTAGTTGAATTGCATTTTGCACGAAATTTTGTTTGCAATTTTATCTCGACTGAAAAAGGAGCGAGAGGAGATTGAATTGAATATTTCTTGAGGCGAGAAGTTAATGTATCGAAAGTAGGATTGTGACATATTGACAATTAAAAATTGACGGAAATACCCTTGTGCACGAGCAAATTTCATTTCGAATGTAGAGCAGCTTACGAGAAGCACGTTCACTATAGTGATCTTCAAATCTGGCACACGAAAAAGAATTTATCTCGTAAAAATCGTAGGGGGAAAAATCTACGATGTTATTTATAATCTACTCTTTTGAGAAGTATTATATATCTTGCTATTTGAATTATATTTGTAAAAATTGTAAAAGTTTATTCGAATCCAAGGATATTTTCGTTCTTTTCTTTTTTTACTCTTAATTTTTACTTCTTTTTGTATATATTCTATATAGTAGAATATGGGTGTAAATTTTTGGATAAATTACATGATATAACGATATATTAATTATAACAGAATAAAGCAACTGTGACTATTAGGCATACAATCGAAATATAGTACACGCTTGGAATTTGAAAGCTGTTATATACGAATTATTAATTTTACAATTGATGTTTTAAAAATAATAAATTTATCGCTTTCATACATCAGAAATGTTCCTTTTCATTAAAAATCAATCAAGATTATATATACGAAATTTAATTTCGCTTTATTTTACGATATATAAAGAGTAAAAAAATTAAATCCTCCGGCCGCTTAACAATTATTTTCTTAATCCTTTGTAATTACGATCGAGTGTACCCGTTCATTAATTCTTGGAAGAAGAATTAAAATTTTCGCGTCTTTAATTTTGCGTTTTTAATGGGCAACTAAAAAACCAGTCAGCCATTTCGAAACGCAAAAATAGAATGGGAAATTAATTGAAACGTCGCACGTCCTTTAAAATTGGGTCGTTGGTAAAACACGTGGGAGTAAACTAGAAGAATATTAAATATTAAACCTTATTAAAATCTGTCACAAACACGGCCAGTGTCTGTTTAATCTGGAGAAAGATTAAAGAAGAGTTTTTTCTCGAAGTTGAAAGAATTTCTACGTCTCGTTTATTGCTGAAAAAAAGCTTAATGTCAACTTGATTTCTTTTTCGTTGGTGAAAACTTTTTTTTCCCTCTCATTTCTTTAAACGAGCAAGAACCAAGATGGCGGAATTAGTCAATTAATCAACCAGAGCGACATCTCTTCTCCTGAACCGATTCTCCTGAATATTACGGAATATTGCGCAGCTTTAATCATAAAATCATATTGTTATATCGTTTTTTAAAAGACCATTCTATTTTCATTTGATTGTACATTTTTCATTTATATCTTCATTG